TGTAAACACCTCGTCTCGCTCACCCGAGACGAGACAACGCAAACAGAAAATGCGTGCGCATGCTGTAACCAGAACCTGTGCATATTACAGTTAATCCTTTCCTGTCATACACCATTCTATCGAATATAGAACCTGGCCTGGCCGAACGAGACTTAGTAGATGTCAAATTTCAAATAAACGCTCCGTAGAGTTGTCTCGGGGGGAGGATTGTCTCGGGTACCCGAGACCATATAATTGCGGCCTTAGTTTCATTTAAGCTTCATGCTGGCCGTCAATTCAAATCATACGCTTTTTCTATTTGCACTACAATCAAAATCAAAACGTTTACATCTGAACCGTTTCTAAGTTGTTCGATACACAGACTTAATCAGAAGAGAGAGATACCACAGTGCATTAACATTGCAATCCTGTGTGTTGCATCTTTTAAAAGAAAAGTATGGTAGGAATAATAGTATTAACTGCCAAATTCTCATGTGTCTTAAAGCAACCCGAAAACATATCATTTACACTACCACTTGAAGGCAACAGCAGTGCAGTTAAGAAGAAGAAGGAGCACACATACCTTGTTTTAGCAGTGGCGAAAAATTTCATCGTAACATGTAGGCGGCGGGAAACGGAGTGAATCATAGAAGTCGCTGGCTGTATCGTTGTGAAGGCTCATTCGACGAAGATCTAGTTCCCAGTAACGTTCTGAGGTGATGGTAAAATATTATGTCTTGGGAGCTACCAAATAACAGAGAATACGACGGCGTGTCGCTCAGTTCAGTTGCTGTGTTGAATATCCCTCCCTCGGTCCCTTCCTCAGATCGGCGCCAATAGAAGAACTCGTTTGCAAACGTTGTGAGACCTGCGAAAAAAAAATTTCCCACGATCGCAATTTGAGGTAAAATTCAGTAAAAGAAAATGGTTAAAAAATCGTTGTTTCCGCCAATGTTCTCGTAACTCGTAATCTTTATGTCCTTGTCTCATGAAATACTGTGAAAATACGCTGAAGCCCTCGTTCAATGAAATTGCCTGCTTGATCTCTGTGTTCTACCGTGAAAGAACGCGAAAAATGGCCAAACGATTTTGGGTACGGTCGAGATGTTCACGCGTTACTCTTTCAGTTGATAAAGAAATCTCGAGATATTTTTTGTACACGTAACAAAAACTTAAGAAGTTCATCTCAGTTGTCAGCAAAATAATCCAGCTTCTAATATGAGAATAAATAATTACACCTAAATTCCCACGGGGGGGGGAGGGGAGAGGAGGAGTTGCGATTACCTGACGGGCGATTGTGACTGAAAGGGAGCGAGGATAGTTGAGAAGCCATCAGAGCATGGACTTTTCATTGACTGATAAATGAAATAACCGCAATTAATATATAACAGTCGGTACCACCTAACAGTCCCCTTCCGTCCCTCATCCTTTCACTGCCCGCCCCCCCCCTACCCATCTTACTTCTCGGCCGCTCACCTCTTGATAAAATGCAGATATTTTCTTCCTCTTACTACCATTTGCGTTCAACCGTGAAGCGTGACCGTTTTTTAACTATTCATAGTTTCGTGCTCCAAACGAAACATCTTCATGGGTCCAATCGTCGGTTGTGTGGGAAACTGTCTCGTTTGAAAAATAGACATGCACGCAAAAACGTTCAGTTTCACGGTTGAACGCAAATGGAAGTAAACTTGTTACATTTATGCGCACTTTTAGTATTCATGTCTAAAATCTCTTGTGTTTGCATGAGGAACACTTTTTTTTCTTTTTCATGTTGCTTTTAATTCACTTCCTGAATTTATCCACCTAAATAAACTTCTGAAACGAATAGGCAAATTTTGAGCAAAATTGCTTTTTGGTTAGAAAGGCATTCTGTACTAGTGGATACAAGGCACTTGAAAACGAAAAAATGTTGCATTTATCTGTCGCTAATTTAAATTTCACAGGCAAAGTTAAATACAAATTAGTTTTTTTTGTCAGTCTATTTCTTTTTAACTGAGCAACCATCAATTCAAACAAAAGTCTTCAAATAAAGCTTTTGTCTGACCTTCGACTAACCAATCACAATCCAGTATCCTCGACATCAGATTAAAATATTACGATGAATTATTCAACTTTCTGCGGGTAAATACCAGCGAGGGCTTGAAGGCGCTATGGAGATGCGCTCGACCATCAGTCCTTGTCATATATCAGGAAAAAAAGAAACTATATTCAAAATTGAGGACTTGTTTCTCGAGTTAGGCAGACACTTTGGCTCTTTCGATCGGTTTGTTAGAAAAGGAGGACTGTAATTCCTCTCTTAAGATATCCTGACGACGTTTTTGTGTTCGTGTTCATCGCCGATAAAATCCTGATTGTTTAATTTCTCTAGTCCTTATAATCCACGAGACGATCCAGAAAATCGTAGAGAGGAGCTAAATGTGGATAGGATTATCATCGACGGTGGCAAAAACTCTCAGGAACTATATCATCGCCAGCCTGACAATTTTCTGTGGATTAACTCCGACAACTGTGCGAAAAGCGA